ATATCCAGGTAACGATGTGACACAGAAACACTATTACATGACATTTTATATACCAAACCATATGTTGCTATTATCGTTATATGATCTGTGTNAACGTATAACGATATTGTTTCACGATTAGTTACGTACCACGATGTTGCTTCACGATACATTACATATCACAATATCTCTTCACGGTATGCTACGTATTACGATATTGATTCACAATATGATACGTATCATAATATCTCTTCACGATACATTAGGTATAACGATATTGTTTCATGATACGTTACGTACCAAATGATGTTGCTTAACGACACATAACGCATAATGATATTGTTTCACGATACGTTACGTATCACAAAATCTTACCGATATATTGCGTATCACGATATTTTTACGATACGTTGCGTATCACGATATTGTTTTATGATCCGTAACGTATACCGATATTGCTTCACAATCCTATATGTACCAAAAACTGATTCGCAATACATGCGTATAACGATATTGTTTCACGATACGTTTCGTATCACGATATTGCTTCACAGTTAATTACGTATCACAATATCTCTTCACGATAAATTACGTATAACGATATTGTTTACCAATACGTTACGTATCACGATATTGCTTCACGATCCTTCATGTACCATATATTGCTTCGCAATACATTACATATCAGGATATTGTTTCATGATACGTTATGTATCACGATATTGCTTAACGATACATAGCGTAAAACGATATTGTTTCACGATACGCTACGTATCACACGATATTGCTTCACATTATATTACGTAACACAATATCTTTTCACGATGAAATACGTATCACGATATTGCTTCACGGTACGTAACGTTTCACGATATTGTTTCGCAATACGTAATGTATCACGATATTGCTTCACGATCCTTTATGTACCAGAAACTGTTTCGCAATACATAACGTATCAGGATATTGTTACATGATACGTAACGTACCACGGTGTTTCTTAACGATACATTACGTATAATGTGATTGTTTCACGATACGTTACGTATCACGATAATGTTTCATAATACGTTACGTACATGTACCACGATATTGCTTCACGATACATAACGTATCACGATATCGCTTCACAGTACATTACGGTTCACGATATCTCTTCACGATACATTAAGTATAACGATATTGTTTCACGATACGCTACGTATCACGATATTGCTTCGCAATGCATTACGTATCGGGATATTGTTTTATGATAAGTTACGTACCACGGTGTTGCTTAACGATACATTCTGTATAACGATATTGTTTCACGATACAATACGTATTACGATATTGCTTCACAATAAGTTACGTTTAACAATATTGTTTACCAATACGTTACGTATCACGATATTGCTTCACGATCCTTCATGTACCAGATATTGCTTCGCAATACATTACATATCAGGATACTGTTTCATGATACGTTACGTATCACGGTACTGCTTAACGATACATAACGTAAAACGATATTGTTTCACGATACGTTACGTATTACGATATTGCTTCATATTACATTACGTAAAACAATATCTTTCACGATACAATTCGTATCACGATATTGCTTCACGGTACGTAACGTTTCACGATATTGTTTCGCAATACGTAATGAATCACGATATTGCTTCACGATCCTTTATGTACCAAGAAACTGCTTTGCAATACATAACGTATCAGGATATTGCTTCATGATACATAACGTATCACGATATCTCTTAACGATACATTACGAATAACAATATTGTTTCAAGATATGTAACGATACGTATCACGATATCGCTTCACAGTACATTACGTATCACGATATTGCTTCGCAATACATTGCGTATCAGGATATTGTTTTATGACAAGTTACGTACCACGGTGTTGCTTACCGAAACATTCCGTATAACGATATTGTTTCACAATACATTACGTATCACGATATTATTTCATGATACTTTACGAACCACGATGCTGCTTCATGATACATAACGTATTACGATATCTGTTAATGATACATTCCGTATAACGATATTGTTTCACGATAAGTTACGTATCACGATATGGCTTCACAGTACTTTACGTATCACGATATCTCTTGACGATACGGTACATATCACGATATTGCTTCACGATACGTTACGTTTCACGATATTGCTTCATGATACGTTACCTTTCAAGATATTGTTTCACAAAACGTTACGTATCACGATATTGCTTCACAGTACATTACGTATCACGATATCTCTTGACGATACGGTACATATCACGATATTGCTTCACGATACGTTACGTTTCACGATATTGCTTCATGATACGTAACCTTTCACGATATTGTTTCACAATACGTTACGTATCACTATATCGCTTCACGATCCTTTATGTTCCAAGACATTGCTTCGCAATACAAAACGTATCAGGATATTGTTTCATGATACGTTGCGTACCACAATGTTGCTTAATGATACATTACGTATCACGATATTGATTTAAAATACATAACGTGTCACGCTATCTTTTCACGATACATTACGTATAACGGTACATTACGTATCAAGATATTGTTTCATGATACGTTACGTACCACGATGTTGCTTCACAGTACATTACGAATCACAATATCTCTTCACGATACGTTACCTATCACGATATTGCTGCGCAATACAATACGTACCAGGATCTTATTTCATGATACGTTACGTACCACAATGTTGCTTAACGATACATTACGTATAGCGATATTGTTTCACGATACGTTACGTATCACGATATTGCTTTAAGATACATAACGTATCACACTATCTTTTCACGATACATTACTTATCACGATATTTTTTCACGATACGTTACGTATCACGATATTGTTTCATGATACGTTACGTACCACGATGTTGCTTCAAAGTACATTACGTATCACACAATTTCTCTTCACGATACGTTACCTATCACGATATTGCTTCACGATACGTTACGTTTCACGATATTGTTTCACAATACGTTATTATCACGATATTGCCTCACGATACATTACGGATCACGATATTCCTTCACGATATATTATGCTTTACTACAAGATATTGCTTCGCAATACATTACGTATCAGGATATTGTTTCATGATACGTTACGTACCACGATGTTGCTTCAAAGGACATTACGTATCACACAATTTCTCTTCACGATACGTTACGTATCACGATATCGTTTTACGATACAGTACATATCCTTTATCCTTTATCCTTTATGTACCAATATACTGCTTTGCAATACATGACGTATCACACTATCTCTTAACGATACGTTACCTATCTCAATATTATTTCACGATACGTTACGTATCAAGATAATGTTTCATGATATGTTACGTACCACGATGTATCACGTTTCATGATAGTTACGTACCACGATGTTGCCTCACGATACATTACGTATCACGATATCTCTTCACGATACATTACGTTTCACGATTTTTTTTCACAATACGTTACGTATCACGATATTGTTTCATGATACGTTACATACAACGATGTTGCTTAATGATGCATTACGTATAACGATATTGTTTCACAATACGTTATGTACCACGATATTGCTTCACGATAGGTTACGTTTCTCGATATTATTTCACAAAACAATACGTATCGCGATATTACTTCACGATCTTTTATGTACCAAGATATTGCTTTGCAATATATTACGTATCAGGATATTGTTTAATGATACGTTACGTATCACGATATCGTTTTACGATACAGTACATATCACGGTATTATTTCATGATGCGTTACGTATCACGATTCCCAATCCTTTATGTACCAAGATATTGCTTCGCAATACATGACGTATCACACTATCTCCTAACGATACGTTACCTATCTCGATATTATTTCACGATACGTTACGTATCAAGATATTGTTTCATGATATAATACGTACCACGATGTATCACGTTTAATGATATGTAACGTACCACGATGTTGCCTCACGATACATTACGTATTACGATATCTCTTCACGATACATTACGTTTCACGATTTTTTTTCACAATACGTTACGTATCACGATATTGTTTCATGATCCATTACGTACCACGATATTGCCTTACGAAACATTACGTATTACGAGATCTCTTCACGATACGTTACGTATCACGATTTTTTTCCCAATACGTTACGTATCACGATATTGTTTCATGATACATTACGTACCACGATAATGCCTTACGATACATTACGTATCACGATTTTGATTCACGATCTTTTATGTACCAAGATATTGCTTTGCAATACATTACGTACCACGATATTGCTTTGTTATCTATCGAGGAAATAACTGTTAAAAATGAACACAACAAATCATAGATAAGTAGCAAATTAAGTCGATAGAAGTACAAACGAGTTCATCCAAGTATATATGTGAGCCATAACCAAACACATACATCGACCATCAGCATCGGGTACAAATTCAAGTCAATGAAAAAAAGATATAGCAAAAGATTTGTACAAAATCAAAAACATTTAACATTCTTCACAAAACTATTTTGAACTAAAGATAATATTCAGAATATTTTGCAAAAACCAATTTTGCTTTACGCAGACTATTCTTGAATACGGTAACATCGTATGGTATGATACACTAAACTATCTCCCATACATATACGTTTGAGCGGTTTCGAGCAAGCTTGATTAATAGAAAGCGAGATACCCAAAGCAAAAGTGATTGAAACGGTGCCTCATGAATAACTCACTAGGTGGTTGTGTCATCATGTGTTTATTTAACAACGTACGGTAAGCCAACACACGAATACACGCTTGTTTTGGGTGCGTGCATGCCAGCGTTCGATGCATTGTTCGACTGACATTAGCCTAGATGTTTTAACTTACCGAGAACATTTTGTGAAAGACTATGTCAGTTTTCGCCGGGTACTTGGGGCCACTGCAGGGCACTTGTATGGAGAACTTAGGAATACACTCAGATAGGACCACAATAAGGATAATTGTTCTGTAAAAAACACAAGGTGGTTTAAACCAGGAATAATTAAACGCTTTACAGAATATAAGGTTCTCGTTATTCCAATGTTCAATGAAGTAAATCCGGATATCTGATTGGTTAAAAATCTTACAACGAATCCGACTTTAGTAACCTTTATATATGATTGAATGAAACTTGATATAATCTAGTCAGCTGGGTATGAAAATATGTCATACCATCTTAAATCATGACGCTAACTCCAGGTGTTAGGCATCGCTGCTTCTGGAAAATTGTCCAGGTTTTTGAGAATACTCCATTTTATACCATAAATAATACATAATCGTCCGGTATATATGACTTGAATCAAATTATTTGTCTCTCGTTTTGTGCTAACAGTAAAATAAAATATTTCTTATGATATTTTGTGATCTAATTTTAGCTATTAAGGATCGCTGCACTAGCATTTTTCTAATAAACAGTTACCTCCCCTTAACTTTCTTTCGGATATAACGTACACATTGTAGCACATTTGGACTCGTACACTTCTGTTGTAGCTCAAGCGGTTTCAGCGATTGTATAACATTATGACGGTCAGGGTTCGAATAACCCCTGGCCCTGCAGAATATTTTACACTCAGGTTATATTTGTTGATCATATTTATATATTTCACCTCCATTATAATTTCATATAGGTCCCACAAGGTATACAATTCTTTTCGGGAATCCTGATATATACCAGATCAGGATTGGTGTCATCAATGTCTTGCTTTAGCTACTTACCCTAAACTAATACCCCAATGTTTCCCGGCTAAGTTAAATCCGAGCTTTGTGACTCCCAGTCCAATCATCATGATGGTTGGGGCGACTGTAAGCGGTCCTATATACCGTAGTAAAATGTTGATTATACCACTGGCCCCTATGATGATTTCTACTGCTGCTGCCACCATACCGGATCCTGCCAGCTAAAACATAGCACTCACAATTCTATATCGTTATAGCAATATTTCTTGTTCAGCAGAGATGGAGCTTGTCCTGCTCCTCTCTGGTGAAATTATAGTCTAATTTGCCCAAATATTTCTGCAGACACTGTATCGTAAGATTATTGTTCATGATAGCAAGTCAGTCAGCGGATTCTTTCTGGTTTTCATCATATAAACTAGCCCTCAAATTATAAAGAAATGACAACGCGTTGACTTGATATGAGAAATGATACACGAGATGTTGACTACACCGTATACGCATCGGAGGACATTATTAGGACGGGGAGGAATTGGGCTATATATGCAAAGATAAGGACAAAAATAAAACCGCAACTCTCATTTAATCAAACATTCCTACTCGATTTACGGATACACGTGAACCTGACATTTTGGTTATTCAGAAGAAGATGTTTGAAGAGTTTTTATTTTAAAATCATTTGACTCCTGTGACCTTGGAAAAGGGACAAGGTTATTCATTTGAATAAACTTGCTAGACACTTATCCCTTTATATAACTAGCTGAATGTCATCATCTGTGGCTCTGTGGTTATTCAGAAGAAGTTGTTTAATGATGTTTAAAAACAAATGACCCCTGTGACATTTAAGGTGGGGTAAGGTAGTTAATTTGAACTTGATAGCCCTTTATCAGTGCGACAAAATATCATCCTGGGTCTTTCGGTTAAACAGAGGAAGGTATCTCATTTCAACTTTGGGCAAGGTGAGCTTAGAAAAGGGTAGGGGTCACCTAGCCCTCTGGTATATGATATTTAAGCTGAATAATTGCATAAAATAACAAGTATTATTACCCCTCTGAGAAAAATCTAGGAATCTGATTGGTTAAAAACTACAGTGTAACAAACCGCATTCGTAAATCTCAGGGGGTATACGAAAATCTCAGGGGGTATACGGTCATGTCACATGATTCTCAGCAGTAATACAGTGGAATCACGTGATTTTACAAGGGGTATACGGGTCACTTGTCTTTGTGTCTTGCGGCCGGGCATCGGGAGACAACTCGCATTCGTCGTCTGCTTCGCTGTTTACAAAATGGCAAAACGTTTCGCTTCGCATAATGATGAGGAAATACTCGCCAAAAGGGCTAACAATGTGCCACATAACACACTAAAGTCGAACAGACAAGCGGCAAACATGCTGAGAACGTATTTAATAGAAAAGAATCAGGAAGAACAGCTCGAGGAATTTGATAAAACGAAACTAAATGAGGTACTGTGCTTGTTTTTTTCTTTTGTTTTTATTATAAAAGACTCAAAGGGGTAATAAATTCGTTACACGGATTTTTGGCAGGGTATACAGGATGGTATGACCCTACAGGATTTCGTATTTCCTGAGGCCGATAGGCCTCAGGAAATACGAAACCCTTTGTATCAACAAATTAAGATACATTTTACAGCTGTTACAATGTTTGGTTGTAGCGTGGATATCACCCTAGATCACAAACTCAATGGCTTATTGTTATATTGTTTTGACACCCTGTAACAACGTTAAGTTATACCAAATGTCCCTCTAAAAGTAAGAAAAGGTCAATGTCAAATTGGCCAAATGATATTCGTCTTGTAAGAATTTGTATTATTATTCAAAATAACTCAACCACTAAATTCGATTTCTGTAACTTGGTAATGTTAAAAAGAGTATCTATGGCTTTCATATCTGAAAATATTTCCTGATGATTAAAAATATAACAACAACAAATCCTAGTTCAGTAACAATAGTCGATCAAAAACTCATAAACATATTAATTGGAAATACACAAATTAATTCTAACCTTTATGATTTGTCAATAGAATATATTCACTGCATAACGCACCACCACAGTTCATTGTAACATCAGTATAAGGGATATATCAGTTGCTGTCGTGTTTTCTTTCTCAGAGGTTGCCAAACCACCTTTGGATTATATATAATCACTCTGTACAAGAGAGCAAAATGCATAGACTGTCCTCGCGTTTTTGTTTTTTGTACTTCATTTGATTTACTAACGTAGTAAATATTAAATCTTATTGAAGTTTTTCACCAGTGGACAACTGTCTTTATTTTAATGTTGTATTTGTATGAAAACTATAATGATGAGTTACGCTTTGCATTTGCTATATTAAAGAGAAATATTACAAACATACATGTACATGTACCTACCATATTCAGACGTGTTTTCCAATATTCATCCTCTGATAATCCCGTTAAACCTGTGATAAAATTAAAAAACATATACTTTCATCAAAGAGCTCGTCTCAAAAAGCATACGCAATTAATTACATTCTAGCTTATGTTATTACGCGACAAAGTTATGACATTTAAACACCAGCCCGCTTTGTATGGCCGCATCCAGTTCGGTCTTATACTAGCTAATAGAAATATTACTTTGTGTTACAATTCAAAAATTTGAATCAAAATGTTTGATAGGTTTGAAGAATACTTGAATCAGTAGTGAACTGCATCACGGAGTTAGACGTCTGGTGTAGTTAGCTCGTGTCAATTATTGATCTGATTTTATAATAAAATTTTATAATAACCTTGTATACCTTCAAAGTTGTGTGTAGTGTGTTGTTCCGATAACATATTAGATATATGTTATTGATGGAGGATCAAGGCTAATAAAAAGTACTGATGAGAGGTGACGTATTTGAGGATGAGCAAATGTTTTGTATTGCCTGTTTCCACATTTCGCACAATTGCACTCTAAGACTAAAAGGCAGTCAGGAGACGGGTAACATGTTTACCCATTCCACCCCTTAGCGGATGTTTAAATGGGGTCATAAATATGACTCAACTAATGGCCCCTTCGTCTCTGTTCACCGAATCCTCTTCTCTCTTAACTTAGGTGGAGTATTTGACTGTCCTCGCTTTCTAATTTTCCTCCCTTTCAAGCACTTTCAAGTTGTTCCACTCTATGATTTGGCTATGTGTGTTTTATTGTACTTCTAGTGTAGACTTGATGCTTCATATTTCAAGGGACGTTGGGTGCCACCAGCTGAGTCAATTGCATGATCCCATTTTAACATCCTTACCCGTCCCCCTGTCTGCAGTATTAGAGCGCAATTGGGCGACATGTCTATGATGTTGAGAGCTGTCATTGCTTGAATCGGCCCATCGATGCTTAGTGAGTTGTTTTCAGCGATTTAGAGTCGAGACACCGCAGATTTACACTCTTTTCTTGGCAAAGGAAACTGACATTTTCGAACGCTCGCAAAATATAAGTTTTCAATTCCTGTTTGTGTTTAAAATAAACTTTGTCTTTATTATTCATACCAAACTGATGAATCCTATTCCTAACGCTTTTGATGAATTTCCCCAATTTAATATAAATTACCATCCAACCAAATTAATTACGTTAACATTATCTGTTGGCATACTAAACCCAATTTATTTACCATAACTAGAACAATAGATGATTATATATTTACCTGTTGCGATCATAAACAAAGTTAGGTACGTACCACCAGCCGTAGCGTTACCAACAACGGAAAAATCTGGACAGGCGAACTCCTCAATCTCTATCATCGCCAACATAGGTACGACGTAAGCAAAGGCGGGACACTGGACAATGGGCAGTCTGTAGAATATTATATATAGGATATTACATGAGTTTTCATTTTTATATGAGATTTATTGAACGTTTCTAAGAATTTTTCAATTTAGCGAGCCTCTGGCGAGCTTAAATGAAAAATCCTGACGAGTTTCATTAATTTCATATGAAATGAAAACGATTTTAATATCCTTTTTATCACATAATCAACATTTGTGGCTTTTATTCGTGTTAAACAACAATTTTCATGCAACCTTGAAATGTAAAAATCACAATCACATGGCTAATAGGTCATATTACATGGGTTTATAAGCAAAACATAGGACATGGGTATATTCATTGGATAACATAGTGCATTGTGTGATAAATAGTAATACATGCATTATTTGACAATGATTTTATTTTTTGAAACTATTTTTTATTTTTTTCAGAACATCATCCACAATTTCATGAGTGTAGATCAAGAGAAAATCACAGTCCATTGCCTTTACATTCAGATTTGCCACTGTTGGTCACGGTGTCTTTTCATGTCAAAGTAAAATAGTGGCATTTTATCTCTTACTGCCTTAATGTGAAACCACATACCATCTTAACGTCAATAATTTCAAATTTGTACTATAATACTTTACCTGGTCCCGAATATGGTCTGCAAAACTGTTCCAATACCACAGGCGAACAGCATGTTTCCCAACAAGGTCGAGGTCACTTGTTTGTTCCCAGCAGCACACATTATCGTAGCAAATATTGCTGGTGTGGCAAGGTTGGAGCTCAACAGCATTAAGTAGTGCTGACAAAAATACAGGTTTTGAAGTATTTATCATTATTTACCATATATAATTTTTTTAAACGGTTACTCTATCCCAAGTTTGAATTTTCGCTGACCAAGCATGGTGTACTTGAAAACTGAAACAATCCCGGCAGGATAGTTCCCTCAGTTTCCGTCTTTTCTTTTAACCTTTGAACCAAAATTTCAGAAGTTTTTGGAACTTGCTGTTAAGAAATTTTGCTGTTTAAGTATGCGTACATTTGTATATCTATGCATTTCGTTTCATATAATTAAGCAGAGTACGAAATGTACGCATAGTCATTTTCTGCCAATTTCGCTAAAGCCTATATTTAAACATTAAAATCATGTCGTTTTACCTCCCTAAGCTTAACCAGTTCAAAACTAATTAATCAATTGTATTCTTATTTTACCACACCAGGACATCGTTTTGATTGAAATTGGGCATGAAATAAACGACATGAAGAAAACGATGTGTCGCCTAAGAGAAAGACAGTTAGGAATTAAGCATTAAGGTAGGTTTATATTGTCACTGGCTAGATTACTAATTTCTGTTGTACCTGTTGAAAACGCAAAACAAAAAGGAGGAAATGTTTTGCAGAATCTTATGCAAACACTTACCTGGAACCCTAGTAGCATTGTAGTGTGCCATGGTGGGCTGTCCTCGACCTTATATTGTAAGCCTGTCAATATCATAGGAGAGGTACGGATTCCCTTTAAACTTTCATTTAGGTCATCATTCTACGGAAACAATAGTATAGATAATAGTTATTGATGAAATGCATGCCATTCGGAAATTCTGTAGAAATAACAATTGACGTTAATATTGGTTGACAGTGTGATATTTACCTGGTCCTCTTGATCTATAGGCGGCTTAAGCAATATGTCATCCTCACAGACGTTCGTTGACATGACGATGAGTTAATGAGTCAAAATTGTGTTTTGAGCGTTCGAATTTAAATACAACTTTTGCAACAAGAGAAACGTGAACCCAATATTTGTATGATATAGTAGCATCACACAAGGACAAGTGGACGGTGGTCAAGACGAGGTCAAGTAACATATACAGGTTGTGACCATCCATAGGGTGACTGTAGCTTAACATAATAAGTAACACACGGACCATTAATTGACCGGTATCATTTAACAGACTTTAATTAATATTTGATGCTAATTTATTCCAACATCGGTCAATAACTAGTGTGTTTGTGTATGGTCGTCTTAAAGGATGAACCAAATTAAACGTTATTTCATAATGAAGGATTTTACGAAGTATATGTAAATAGTGATACCTTTGTTAAAGTAATGTTTGGTTCGTCCGAATTATCGTTTTATGGCAACGTATCGTGTTTGAACTTTTCTAATAATTTTGTTTTTCATTAATTCAGGAACGCGGAATAGTCACATAGTCACATGAGTTGTACGTTTGATCTCGCTCCCTAAAATCGCAGACGGAAATACATTTAAATTGAAACATTACTACATATGTCTCATATTTTCCAACGAAATTTTAACATTTATCGAAACATTATGTCGCATTCTGAACGAAATACTCGACCCAGCGTGGCAGCTACGAACACAAACACTGCCCTCTAGAACTAGTGAGGATATGTATGTCCCGATCCATGCATTATACCAATGGCGTCTGTTCATTTCAAATGTGTTTATTTCAAAGTACATTTAAGCAGTTGAATATTACTTCCATGGCGTCACATCGTTAAGCCGGCAGCGGTGCAACATTTACCTCTGGGTTATAAATAATGTATGAAAAACAAGTCTATTCATTTTCAATAATGACATGCAAATATATGGAGTTTGTGCAAAACTATTGCTAGGATTATTGTCATACGTACAGGGATGGCATGAAAATGAAAATTTTACATTTTTGTAAATCGAAAATAGCCTATGACAAACGCTGGTGTGACAATGAGCTCTAATGCAAAGAAGCCGGTATTAGGTCCAATCCCACCCTTATCATTTTTAGGAAACAAAGTAATACCTTAAAGTGTATCGCTAATTAACTGTCATATCTATTGACTCCATTGCCTGTAAAAACCCTGACACTTGTGTACGCTTGACAAAAAACACACGTGTCATTGTATTATTTAGATACAAAACAAAAATCATACCGCAACTAATTCAGACCAAACTGTGACCTTGCAGAAAACACAAGTTCTTCGATAAATTTATTTAAACCATAAATTTGACAAAAAGAAAAACAAACATACACACGCAAACGTGAGATAATTAGGTAATGTTCATGTACTCACAACTCACAAACTAACTTATGATAATAATTTGTATATGTTGGCTACACCACGTACTCTTAAATTGAAATCGCGTTTGATCAAAGTGCAGGTTCCACGCGCTCAATAATATATGCCAACGCATGCAAACGTCAGATCTTCTATATCCAATGAGGAGCTAGACAGCTGAAGTTGCAAACGAATTATTAACTAAGATTAATTCTCTTGTATATTGTTTCGCTTTGATTTTTCATGATTCAATGATGTGACGTTTCACCTGGCTTACGTAAAACTTTGTAACAAGAGATGGAAAATGCACGGTCAGACCGGGGTTCGAACCTGGGACCTTCCGAAATCTAGACGGACGCTCTATTTACTGAGTTAGCTGGTCGCCGTCGCCGCTAAAACTCAAAACCCATTTTAATGAAACAAAAAGCGCGATCGCTTTACGTAAGATATCTATACACTCCCGTGATTGCAGGTATCGAATGGTTGTAGGTATTAAATAATACGTTTATCGCGTTAATAATTAATAGAATATATAGACCACTATTTAAAATATTAAAAAATACACGTTGTACATTGTATCTGCCCAATGCATGCACAGACATTACTGTATCCCTTGTTGTGATTTTGGTTTTGATATTGTAACCGTGTTTTCACAATACAGTCTGATATCAATAAAAAACCATAAAATACTACTACACTACAACGATTGCGGAAATCCAGAAAAGCAGATAATGTCTGTTCTTAAAAATCCGTCATACAAAAACAGCTTCGTCTTACTCGTGTCACAGTGACCATTACATCCGGCTTAGATTTGTTTAAAACATGTTTGTAGCATAAGCGACTCTCTTCAGTCACCGAAAGGTCATGATTTTTCATTCTTTTTTTCAATTCTGTCAACATTTAATGACAAAGACGTAATAGAGTCAAATGAATAATAAAACACGCAAGTCCGTATCAATTCATTATATTCGCCAATGTAGCATCGGGAGGGGTTTCTGCATTGTCGTCTGCTAAGCTAACATTGAAGTAACCGAGAGTAGTACTGCTGCATCCCACTGCATGTGTATCGTAAAAAGCGGCTCCCTGCTGACTTTCTCTTTCCGGCGTTGTCTCCCTTGGCACCGTTCTCCATATCAACCAGTTTGTCAGCCCAAAACAAACATAAAAAAAATTAACTCGTTCCATGGATGGCCATATATTTAATCAATTATGTAGGACGATTAATTGATTTGAAATATATTTTTAAGTGAAAACGGTTACATCTAAACAAGAGAGATAACACTTTCTGTAAACCAGGAAGTAAATCGTAGTAATCCACACATACCACACGTATACAACTTACTCTCATTGTCCACTCTCTATGTCACTATCAGGCATCACGGTCAGTGGCTATTGACAAAGCCGCCCCTTTATCTGTACCGCTTTATCCGTCTCAGCTACTATCCGTAACGACGTATGTATGCTGTGATTCGTAGTCATTGGCGCTAACAATAATTTGATGAATGTCTATGTACTGTGATTAATTTCAGTCCTTCAACTTGTTAAACTATTAGCGATTACATACATGTATACCTTGTTGTGTTAGCCACAATCGGACTACGTCTATAACGGTGTTACAAAAGCGACGTGATTCCAAAGCGACAGGATTTCAGCATGCTTAATATTTCAGTTATTTTGTTACCTTTGCCTCTCTTGACGTGATTGGTTGTGTTTATTAAACCGATTTTATTAATCAAGTCTAATTTGCAAGAAAATGGATATCTGCGTAAAAAATATATATTAAAAAGGCAAAATAAACATCAAAACGTAATCAATATCCACACAGTATGTATGCGATGATGCCACATTTAGTTGATCGGATGAACAGTGTATTACATTCGCCTAATTCCTCATAAATCGGAATGTTAGTACGATTAAGGTCGCCTCCTAGCTTCGAGCTAGAGGGAATTTCCCTTTAGCTCAGTGGTAGAGCGTCCGACTAGGAACCTGGAGATCGAGGGTTTGATCCCTGGTGGAAGTACACTATTCTCTTTCCTGTTACAGAATTAAGACGACAATAGACGTGACGTCATACCATTGTGATGTCGTATTGACACAATAAACATGATATCAGAGTGGAGACTTTGATTATACTGAACAATTTGTTTGCAAAATAGCACATGTATTTATTGTTCACTATTGTTCTTTTCATAACAGATATTTGAAACGTATCTAAGTTTTCTATATTTTGCATTTGCCAACGACACAAAATAAGATATTTACATAATATATTTTTATTCATTAATCCCTTTATAGTATTCTAGTAAAAATAGGTTAGATTAAACTGATATAAGTCAAGTAAAAACTTTAAAATATGTATATATATTATTTAAGTAATGATAAAGTGTCAATATTTCGTTAGTTAACAATTTTGCACAGCATTCTGCCATTTCTTCCATAAACGGAGATCATACAAATGGACTAAAGTAATAGCAACAGTACATGTGTGTATAAGTGGAATTCTTCACTCATCTGAATATGTGTGGTGTTTCTCAATGTGAGTGAATACAGATTAATTCTGAGTCATTTCTGATGGTGTTTTTTATACTTTTTATTTCAGTTCGAAACACAATACTATAAATACCCAAAAAGTAGGACTGACATTGCCATGTGACCTCAGGAGCGCGTCATTGAGTTACATTGATGACACTTTATCGACCTGAGATGCTTATACTAGGCAGGAATGCGAGGTATCTTGAACGTGGGGTACGGTGCGAAATCTACAATCGCCTGTACCAGCCAACCCTTAACGAGGATCTGGGAAGGTACTGTCTACATGGTGTTTATAGCTTGCTCCTGCGGTCATGTTTCCGACAGGTCAAGGGACCTCAGGTAATAACCACAAACGAGTCTCAGTCCTAATGATGAAGGCCTCAACGTAGTCGAAATATTTAGGTATGTAGTTTTGTGTTTCGAACAATTGTTTAATAACCATCACCATAGTCAATATCAACACAGGTAAACTTTCATTCCAGAATTCCTGGTCATTTTTTGGCCGAACAGCACAGTCCGTTCCGAGAAAAAGTAGGTGAGAAGGGGATATAATATGTCCATTTCCACTTCCGGATGTAGCTCATACCAAAGGGCAGGTCATACGTCTTTAAGGTCATCGCATTAGTGGTACCATCAACATCTGATCCACTATCTTCAAAAACCTGTCGCCAGGCAATCAACCCTCGTTCCTCTACTGTACCTGAGTGCAGCGGAAACATGATTATTTCCATTGTTCTTATGTCGAATTTTAGTATGCAAATGTTCGAAATGACTATATCCATACTATGGTTCCAATTGTGATACAGTTTGACTGTTCCAGGTCATACTTAATTTAGCCATTGTCATTTTATACATGGATTTTTTTTTTCTATTCTTATTTTGTTAAAGTATGTCAAGGAAATGGGTTGTGTTAGCAAAGTAAAGTCATATTACTAAATGTTTAAATATATACATTTCATTACTTTTGCAACAGTAAACATAGTGGGTTGTTCCACTAATGTCGATTACAAAAGTAGTGTAACCTACCTGGCATGAGGTTATCCAGGATCAGTGCTGTAAAGCAGGCCATGAATATGTTATTTCCCAGCAATGCTGTGATGACCTGTCGAAGTCCGGAGTCGACTAAATGTACATATAAATGTAGTTTTAGGACTACAATTGGAATAAGGACTCTCTTTATATGTAACAATCATGCTTAAGAACTCTTTTAAGGCTATTTTTTTACAATTTTGCATTCAATCCATGTTAACGATTGTACACTCTACCTGAATGTGGAAAGCGACTAAAGCACCAACAACTTCACATGACAACAGCAATTTTGGTAAGCAGCAAATATATATACGAAAAAGGCAAGTATTGTTATGAAAGCACTGTAAAATTTTTACTATCAAGTGATATCCACGTTTTCGACTAAATACGCCGTTAGAAAATGACGTAATGATTATCACATCAATTCTGTTGTCACTTAAATTGTATTATTGATAAACAGTGGATCAAATCCTCATCGATTAGAACCATTGTAAATACACTACACAGTACATATTTTAAACACATTTATTAAAAACAGATACAGCTATATATATGAAGATTCAGTGACATAATTTAAAACGTTAACTCCTGGTAAATTTGTATCAGTGTGATAATATTACATTTCATATAAGATTATACCAGTAGGAAAACCAGGCAAAATAGTATAAAAGTTTAATAAATATTCTAGTATTTGCTTAGCTGTATTACTCACGTTGCAGAAATAAGTTTTGATTATCCGTCAGCCATGGTGGCAGGGCCAGGCCTACAAACAGGGCCATGCCCATCACTATCATATTCCTAGGAGAGTTCAGATCAGCGTACTGTAGGTTGGACCCTCCAACGGCAGTCAGCACAGCTGAAATAGGGAAATGTATGAACAAACTTGTTTGCATCATTTCGGTGGTTGCAGAAATGACTCGGTAACAGATATTTTCGAACAATGTTTGCCGAATTTAAAGTCAATGTCTTTACTGAGTTTAAAAGTAATCAAATTCATATCAGGGATAGAATATTTCTGTTTATGTCAGTTCTCATGGAATTAAAAGGAACGTGTTTGAAAAATGTGTACGTTCTTGATATTTCATTTTGTATCATTCGGTTATCGGTGAATGTGTGTGGATGACATATTTGAAAAACACTTTTTTTCTGATGACCTAATTGAATGATAAACCTTGTTATATATCAAATTTATAGGTTTCTTGAAAAAAATCGTACCGAATAAGACGATGAATGCTGCTCCAATAATTGGATCCGGTACAGTAACAACAAAAGCGCTCATCTTAGAGAAGCAGCCGAAAAACATCATCATCATTCCAGCCACGAGAACCACACGGCGGCTACCAACCTATCAATACACATATGATGCAATATAATCGTGTACATTAAAATAAACATATAACAGACATTATCACAACGTCGTCACGCGAGAGAACCATCGAATTCAAAGTCGTTACAGAAAGATAAGAACAGGACCAATAAGACATCATAAAAAAACAAAGTTTTGATTTTGTATGTGTCGTCCGTGGCGAGTTTAAGTATATTTTTATTACATTTTTACCAGTGAAATATTGAAAACTATTCATTCTATACACTTTTGCTGATTTGACTTATCAAAACACTGATGAGATAGCACTATAAAGTCGGCACCAGATCCGCGCTATCACAAGGAGGCAAGCACATCAACATACCCTGTCTCCTGCATACACACACACTTGCACGCATACATTACACACATGGAGACCAACCTTAAATGACATTAGCTGTTAAAAGGACGTTAAACAAAATTAAACCAACCAATTTAATTATGAGAGTATTTTGGCATTTTTATTTAAAATATAAACTAAAATACCTAAAAAAAGTAATGAGTTTTTACATTTTTGGGGGGAAAATAAGACTGTATTCTGTCGCGTAGGGTTGTCTAGACACAATAGTGGTAAAAGGATTCAGATCAAGTATTGTCAGCTTGAGATGTCTACTATTTTGATATCTTTCACTCGTGCTGCGTACTCGTGACAGATATCAAAATGTTAGTCACACACACGAAATATATTTGGTATAACTGTAAGATATCATCTCTTTATAACTAACGGAAAATAGTGTTATTTGAACTCCTGCAGTGATTGCATTTTAATGTATGACTAAGTGCCTAAATATCAAGTAAATACGTAGATGGTTGCCCGGATCCGAAGAGTAATGACTGATTTTGTACAACCAATAAGTAACAGCGATACCTTGGTTAGACTAATAACGCCGATATTCTGACTGCATGAAGTCACACCAAAGCCGGATCCAACTAAAATGGAGAGGATACAGTCGATACCCTCCAGAAGAATACCTGGAAAAAACCCGGAACAAGCTTCAATATCATAATTCTTTATTCATTTCAATTCGTTATTAGGTATAATACCAATTTTAACTAACATCAACATAAGAAAAGGACGATGCTAATGATGTTGTTTCATGGATTTTTAATGTGAATTTACAGATTATTTCATTTTAACATTAAACCAGTATTCCTCTATTAGTAAATTGATGCGTGGTACGCACCTCTGTGCCGATAGAAGTTTAGACAATTTAGATCTCGATTGTTTTTAGGCCCCTAGCACCACCGATGAGTCCTTGAAGGACGAAACAGCTGTTTAATGCAATGTAATTTATGTTTTGGAAAATTATATCCAGTACTTTTTAAGTTGCAATCATCTCTGTATGCACAAAGTACATCTTTCGTTATCAATGTACGTTTGTCCAAATATCTATATAATAAAAGCACAGTTATGACTATTTTTGTCTATGTTAGCAGTGTAATGTTGATTATAATTTATTGCCGTGGCCCATTGAGACCTTCTGTATTAGAATAGCGTAACGCCCTACAACAAAGGAGTCATAACAACAATAACAGACGTAAAATCACAGGTGTCCGGTTACTTTTCTGAAGACTGGAGTTGATTTCACCAAATTACAGATCACTTAACTCATTTAAAACATGTGATGAGTCATAAATATAATAAATCAATAGTTTCGTTGGTAATGAAAAAGCAATTGGTAATGAAATGGCAATTGAAACGTGTCTTATGAGCATTCCTTGGTCGGCCTCGTTCTCAATAAAAGTGTTCCTTTGCATTTATCCCATGCAGAAGGAATGATTTATGTTGATCCTTTATGGTAAGTTTACTTAGTGAGTGGGAAGAGTTGTTGGAAGAGTTGTGGAACACGTACCTCTGTTGACAGCGGAGGGTGGAGGGGGCACAGCACCGGCCATGCGTGCACACGTGTAATAGTCCCCAATAGACTCGATAATAGAGGTCAACACACCGGCAATCATCCCCACGAACATTGACGTGTTAAACACAGGTAAACCAAACTTTCCTATAGAAAAAAATCCAAAATATATTATATATATATATGCATACAGAATGTTACAATCAAAGCAATCAAATAGCATCAACATAATCATTGGAATTGTAAGTCGATAAAAGAAGTGATTTTCTGAAGCTTGTTTTCAAAACATTCTTTTGAATTATTCTTTCACTGTTGACGTTATTGTTTAGTGTATTTCTCTTTTCTTTCATGTTTTGAAGGATTTTGAATTCAGGGCCCTTTTCATGAACCGTTCTAAACACTCAAACATTGATTTGTGATCAAACCTATCTCATTTGACTGGCTTAAATCATTTTGTAACAACGACACTTGGTATTTCTTTTATCACTGGAACAAAACAAATGAGCTTTAGCAAACAATCTGAGGTTAAGCACGACCCTATTTATTAAGTGATAAATATGTCATCAATTCGATGAAAGGTAATTGGCGTTACTAACACTGCACAGAATGTGTACCTGGATAAGGAAATGAGAACCAAGGGGACTCATGAAGAATCTCTGTACGCAGGTCTGTTCTCGCATCATAACCATAGGCTGTTTTATCGACCGGGAACACGTCGGTAATAGTCAGGATATAGCATAGTAACCACATCACACAAACGGAGATAATCACCTGGTAAGTAACAACTCATATAATCAAAACGTTTGGGATGATCTACATATAAAGATACAATCAAAACATTCTGCGAATCGCATTATGTATGATTATGTTCTATGCTGTGTTCTAAATATTGTCATACACATATAGGTGAAATTTTCATTGAGTATAATTTTGCTTTTCATAAGCGATTAGCATACAATTATATGTATTAACTGCTAGCATTTTTTTCATAATTTCTCCCCACTGTCCATCTCTTATTATACCAAAAGCGACGATGTTGGTATTTTTGGAATAAATATAATAGCTTGTATGTGAAAGTTTAGCATGTATATACAACTTCCAACAACTTACCGAGAACATTTTGTGAAAGACCACATCAGTTTTAGCTGGGCACTTGGTGCAACTGCAGGCGACGTTTACGGAGAATTTAGGTATACACTCAGATAATACTATAATCAGTATAATTGTTCTGAAAAATATATCAAGGCGGTTTACACAATTGATACAGAATCTCCTCATCACACAAAGGTTGGTACTTATTTTGCACCATATGTAGTGATCAAGTGTTTAACTTGTTTCAGGTGCACATTCAAAATCCCCAAAACAATTGTTGGTTTGAAATTACATCTTTAAATGCTCCTTATTTTTCCCCTTTTGCAGACAACTGTAATACTGTTAATCGCGTTTATTTGAATTCATATTTGAATTCGTAATTGAGAGTTTACTTTTCAAAAACTTGAAAAAGTTATACATGAAATGAATATTTACAGAAGGTTAAATTACAGAGAAAGAGAAGCTCTGCAACTCAGCATGGCAATCGCCAATGTTTCAATCAAATGGTTTTATAAACTCTTTCGTTGAAGATAATTTCCAAGTACCTCTTATGTTCGGATCTGGTGTAAAGGAATACAATGGAAGTAAAACAGAAGACCGTGTTAATTAATGTAAATACAGTTGAGGTTCTGGGGATACGGAATCAACATAATTACAAAAAGTCTCAGTCATGTGTTGATGATATAAACAAATCATTGATACAAGGGATATGAAAAGAGGAATACCAATAAGACGATCAGATATATAAAAGTACGTGAATCTGATGGCTTAAACATCTGAATGAAATCCATCCGTATTAGTACCTTTTACAACTGATTGATCACATCAAATGAAATGTTGTCAAACACTGTTCTTCACAGAGGTACATACAGATGCGTGGGGATACTAGAACGGAGTTGTCGCCTGATTTGGCGTTCTTTGTACAACTCATCACAGATATTCAGTGTAAAGTGTACTGGATTTGACGATATATGTCGAGAAAAATATTGTTTTGTGGTAACATTATTTCAACCATATTGTATTAAAATTAAAAAAATAACAAGCATTCCTGTCATCTACTTCCTCATATCCAGTTGAATGTCGAGGTTATAGTTTAAATGTTAAGTATAATGTTTTACTAAATCTCCGACAACTGACTCCATATCTCTATACGCCTGACTGCGCACACTGTTTCCTTGCAAATACACGCTCAAAACACGCTCGCATATCACAATATCGCAGTGGTGACAGTACCGGTAAATAAATCACTTATTTATATTTATACGGAGGCTCCATCAATGCTGATGATTGTGCATTCGGTACCTGTGCACGGAGGCGTGAAAGAGGGACCATTTACAGTGATTATTCATTTGGAATTGTTGATCAGGGTATAAGATAAAAGATAAAAGCTGTCGTGTGTACTAGCGTGTGATGGCTTCAATGGCTGCATAGGGTATGTGTGCCTTGACGTCCTCGAGTTTTGTCCATTAAACTGCGGAAAGGAGATCCGATTGTGGTATTGTGTGTGGGGAAAATGAATATCTATAGGTGTCCTTGTAGCAGATATGTGTTTTTATGCGTAAGGGTGTGTGTGTGTCTGTTTCGAGGGTCTACAGGGGTGAGTATAAATGTTGGGTTTAATGCAACAATCGAGATGGTGTACTAATGTATATTGAGTCGAGGTATATGTAAGTGTTATATAGAAAAACGTTTTTGGTGATTTAGTTGATGATTAAAACATATCGTTGGCGAAGTTATTGTTTTAATTAAGATTTTTTTATCTTGTATTACCAGTAACGGTGTATAGATTTTATATTGTCTATATTATACATCAAAATAGGTACTTACCCTAAACTAATACCCCAGTGTTTTCCCGCTAAGTTAAATCCGAGCTTTGTGACTCCAAGTCCAATCATCATGATGGTTGGGGCGACTGTAAGCGGTCCTATATACCGTAGTAAAATGTTGATTATACCACTTGCACCTATGATGATTTCTACCCCGGCTGCAACCATACCGGATCCCGCAAGCTGAAACATTATTGAACTATTCACATAAAAAGCTTACGGAAGCCATTCTTAAGCTATATGAGATTTAGTTACTTATGTTTTATTTTCTGACCAGGCTTTTCTACATTGTATGATGTATAAAAGCATTAAATCATGCTTAAGGCAACCTTAAACAGACTTTTCAATCCAGTTCTTATTTTTTCTGTGTTAGCTGAACCTGTCGAAAATCCGACATCGGCCCGTGTTCTCTAGGTTTCGAGAGCACTTTGTTTTAATCAACAAGCATGCGAAAAAAAGCGTTAAAGTTTTGTTAGACTTTTTTTCTAAATTTGTTAATAAAATGTACAAAGTTTTGCCAAATGACTTTTGAATACTCATATTCGTCACAAATCGTCCTGGCAGTGTTATTTTCGCGCTATTCGAACTAAGGAGGGCATCGAAAATATCAAGTTTCATGTACATTATTGTAAGATTCATCACTTTATCCAGGCAGAGAAGAATAACGTACCATATTCAGGCGTGTTTTCCAATATTCATCCTCTGATAGTCCACTTACTTCTAGAATGAAAGTCATTCACGTCAGTTTCTTTATCATCATAAATTGTTTTGGTACCCTCATACACAAAAGTCGTACTGTATTATTGATATATGATTTAATTTGATTATTATTATCAGTGAAAGTTTTGATTTTTTAATAGAGGCATAACTGTTTACGATTTTACTGGCGTTTGGCACATGCATGTACATACTAAACCGATATTTAATGTTTCTCTCTTCTGGCAAAATTCAACTAGATCAATTGACTATAGGCCTACTCATGTTTAGATTTTTGTGTTTAAAAGCGTATGTTATTCTCTTACATATTTGTCGTTAAATAGTTACTTATACCAAACACTTGATCCAGTAAGTCTTATGAAATTTCAAAACTTACCACCAGCCGTCGCGTTTGCAACAACGGAAAAATCTGGACAGGCGAACTCTTCTATCTCTATCATCGCCAACATAGGTACGACGTAAGCAAAGGCGGGACACTGGACAATGGGCAGTCTGTAGCAAGTAAAAGCATATTTAATATTTTAACATATATTTTACTTCATATGAGAGTCTCAAATGACCTTACACTATATACTGATATCTGAACTACAAAGTGCCAGGACGGTCCGGAATGACTGACATTATTGTCATCGAAATCAAAACAAGGGCCATGATCATAGATACAGCATAAAATTGCGTTTATTATTTACATCTTGCTACAGCGCAATTAGGTTTTACTTGAGATGATTAGTTTATATTAGAGAGATATGATGTAAGCTAAATTAGTTTTATTTCTTGAAAGTTTGTGTTTGCTACTTTTGCAATAGGTTGTGCAGCGCACACAATAAACACGCGAAATCAAATTGCTGTACACGTATAAACATTTAATGATGAAAATAATAACAAGAGGCCCAATTGGCCTGCATCGTTCACCTGTTATTAACCCCGCACTTGTAACCTTAAAAGGGAACAAAAATAAAGCTACAGGCATAACATCGGTGTCTCAAAGTCTTTCGAAAGAACATGTTAAAATATTTCAACACATATGACCCCTGTGACCTTGAAAATGAGCAAAGGTCATTCATTTGAGCCGACTTGGTAGCCCATTAACTTAGCAAGCTTCAGGCCAAATATCAATAACCTAGGCCTGTTGGTTATTCAGAAAAAGTCATTTGAAGATTTAAAACATATATCACCTCTATAACCTTGAATATGAGTCAACGTCATTCATTTGAACAAACTTGGAAGCCTTTCATCAAAGCATGCTTCTGGCCAAACATCAACACCATAGGCTTTTTGGTTTTTTAGGAGTTGTTTAAAGATTTTAAACATATTTGACCCCTGTGACCTTGAATATACATCAAGGTCAATCATTTGAACTAACTTGGTAGCGCTTTATCAAAGCATGTTTCTGGCCAAATATTAACACCCCAGACCTTTTGAATATTCAGAAGTTGTTGAAATATTTTAATAAATGTGACCCCTGTGACCATGCAAATAGGCACATGTCATTCATTTGAACATACATGGTAGCCCTTCATCCCTGCATGCTACTGGCCAAATATCATCACCCTGGTCCTTTTGGTTATACTGAAGAAGCTATTCAATGTAAAAAAATGACGACGGACCGACGACGGACGAACAACGGACGACGGACGAACAACGGAAGCCGCACCACGACATAATGTGAGCTAATAAAAACCTTGAAATTAAATTAAGTTATATTTGATCACGTACATGATATGCACAATGATATTTTAAATACATTCAATATGATATCATTATAAATATACGCCCTGTTTTGTATTCATCCCCTACCACACCTGAATCCATAATTCATGTCTAAGTTTTGTCAGTACCCAGGTAAATAGAGCGCTGTACTGAATTGATGGTCTACGTAGATGTTGTTGAAAGAGATGTATGCATTTCAGCTGTAATTCTAAACCGGGTTTTGAGGTCAATGTATTCTTTACTTGACCTATACATACAAGTTATTGTATAGGTACGGTGAAGTTTTATTATAAACAGCATTTGATAAAGGGCCCTATCTAGCTAGAATAAGTCACTCTTAAGCGATCTACAGTACATAGATATACAATTAAAACAATCAATACAATTAGCAAATACATCAATCAATACAGTTTTGAGGAATTCGCAGGAGCTGCCTTATCAGGCGCTAACTGCTAGTCCTATGCCACCTAGCTAATATCTCCCTATGTGTGTATGTTTGCGTGTGTGCTGGAGATGTATTGTGTTCTGTTGGTAGTGGGACCGTGCTTCCAACGCCATCATGTATAGTGCCACCTCACTTAAATGCTACAACACAGGTACCGTAACATCCACCCAAGACCTTTTTATATTACACCTGGGTTGTTGGAGTTCTGTAGGCAGGAGAAAAACACTTTCGCTGAATATTCCATGCGTACGACGACTTCGGGGATCGAACCCCGGCCGCCTGCGTGGAAAGGCGGGAGTGTTTACCACTTGACCAATCCGCCCATAAAAGCCCATCGAAATTTTCTTACGATAAACATGCAATTTGAATCAGAAAACTAATTCCGATTCTGTATGGGGGAGTAGGTAACCAGTAACAATCTACACACACTTGTATTCATAAAACATGACAAAAGTATCGTACGAAAGAGCTGGCATGGGTGTGTAATGACTTCTATGGGTTATTTTCAGTGTGGTTAAATGTTCTTGCAAAAGTCAGTGTCATATGACGACGGGTGCTTAGGGAGACACAACCAGGAAGAGAAAAGAAGAAAGAAAAAGTAGGTACGAAACATAGGTAAGAAAAACATTCCAATTATTGCAAAAGGTCAGCCCATAAAGTTTTGATCTTTTAGAAATCCCCTATCAGAACACACAGAAGGAAACAGTCATTCCGCAGGGTCGTAGAGGCGGGGGACTTATTAGTCGCGTGTATTGATACACATACATGCAGTGGGAAACAGCAGGTATATTCTGGATTTTTTCATGCCCTCTTAACAGAACACACATAATAAACTAAACAACCCCCGATTCTGAAGGGGCCCATATTAGTCGCCTCTTCTGATGAACATTCAATTTTCAGCAGAAAACTAATCCCGATTCTGTATGGGGGAGGAGGTGTTGTAGGTTACCCGTAGCCTGGTTCTACAATCTACCCTCACTTGTAATACTAAAACATGGACAAATTATTTATTGTGCTCTACATATTTTTTTTAACCAGTTAAATACAATCAAACAAATATAATATCAGATGCATAAATAGTCTCCAAAACGTTCGTAGTATTTTGTAATTTTTTTTACCTTGTCCCGAATAATGTCTGCAAAACTGTTCCAATACCACAGGCGAACAGCATGTTTCCCAACAAGGTCGAGGTCACTTGTTTGTTCCCAGCAGCACACATTATCGTAGCAAATATTGCCGGCGTGGCGAGGTTGGAGCTCAACAGCATTAAGTAGTGCTGACAAAAATACAGTAAGAACGATATCAATTATAGATGCAAACTGGTCAGTAAAAGATGTGTCAATAAGAACGATTTTCGTAAAGTCAAAGAGAAACGAACACCCTTCGATGATTTTACATTACTTGTAGGAATGCAACATTCGTTGACAATATCAAAATGTGAAGGTCGAATTCAATCTCGTAATAAAACCCTTAACGTAATTTCTATCTGGCGTTGTTAACAGAAATGCATTTTGGGATGCGCCAAGTGAACGACTAGGCGTAAACTAATACATAACTTTAGCAATAATCATCTATGAAAGTTATGAACTTAAAGGTATTCAGAGGATATCTTTATTCAAATTTCATCAATTAAAAAGATCGAAGCATTTTATAGCAAAATTAATGTCTGCCAAGTTGATAGTCGTTAAAGTTTCATCCCCGCTAGGTGAGAATTCATCACTTAAAACGTCGGACAAATTCAAAGAAAACTTGGGAAGACCGTTTATTCCGTCATGGTAATTTCAGTGCAATTTGACAAACGATATTTCTGATAAATTGTATGAGTGTTACAATTGGTTCCAATCGTTATTTCAACCGACATGCTTTTGTACGATTTTGCAGATTTTTGTCTTTTTTGTTGTAATAAAAGTATTTTCAAATTATTCTCAATTTTGTTTACATTGGATATTGTAATTCCGGTTTGTGTTGTATTAATACGCTAAGAATTGTGTCTAGTGGTGCATGTCATTTAGAGTCCAATCAACGACACATTTTTCAAAAAAGTTATCTAGTGACAATGCCATAATACTGATCCAATAATTAAATAGGTTTCATTCGAGTAAAGAAAATTAAAGGGTCATGAATAATGGACACAGCAAAGACATCAACGAAACAGGCATTCGGACATGGAACATGTGAACTTGTTTACATTATCCTTTATTGCAATTCATGTCCGCCAAGGTTAAATAAAACGAAATGCATGTACAATAAACTAAAGAGATAAGTTAAGTGCAGTAGAACACATACCTGGAAACCCAGTAGTATTGTAGTATGCCATGGCGGATTATCGTCGACCTTATATTGTAAGCCTCTCAATACTAGTGGAGAAGTATTGGTTCCCTTTAAACTATCCTTCCGGTCATCATTCTACGGAAACAATAGAACAAATGTTGTTGTAACGCATGGCATCTGATTATCCGAACGTACAAGGAATAATAATAATTTGAATACATAATAATAATAATAATAATAATAATTGGAGGTTCTTATATACCGCTTTATCACAACCTAGTTCGTTGGTCGTCTCAAAGCGGTTCACAAATTATTATCCGTGGTATACACATGAACATTAGAAGATTAAGATATATTGTTACCTGGTCGCTCGGTTCTAATGGCGTCTTTAGCAGAACGTCACACTCATAGATGTTCTGGGACATAGCAATACCTTGTATTGACGGTTTTAAAGTAGGTTAACTTTTGTCACATTGACTCGAATATCATCACGCAAGTGGTGTATCTATTTATATCAATATCGTCACCAGGACCAAGTGTATATCGTCCAATTACCAAGGTAACCAACATTAGATATCAAAATACAGATTATTCATCGGGTGACTGAAGCTAGGGCTAACACGGTGTGTGTGGACAAGCACTAGACAGGTATATTGTTATCTTATTTTAGATAAGATGTTTATTCAACCCCACATCGAATAAATGCCGGTGAGTGGTACATGTATTTTTTGAAAAGGCAAGCTACGTTTTCTATATGAACGGATTGCACTCTAGTTGACGTGTTTTTATCATTTTAATCACTTTAAGAAGCATACAAAAAAGATGATACTTATTTATATAGGTACTGAGTCTGGAATTTTCCAGTGTTCGCGCGATTATGAACGGGGAAAACAATTCTTACACACGACATGAGCGCCGTAGTGTAGTAATATGATGTAATATCGCATCGTCATTTCGGGGATTTCGAAACTAATTCACGTGAACATTTTCTCATGGCCGCTTCATCCTGCTTGACGACCTTGTTAAGAAAAACATTGAGAAAGCAGTGGTTTAATTTGGGAATGAGCTATAATTTAACTTAGGCGATTCTACATAGAGAAAATTTACAACAGTGTACGGTGGAGTCAATGGATGATGATTCTGGAGAACGGAAAGGCCAGGATTGACACCCGGTTTAAGTAAAGCGGTGTTTATTATGACAGGAAGTACATCGAGCTAGTCTCGACCTCGCTATGTGCGTCGTATGTAGACCCAGTGACAGTGGTTACATGCTGCGTTCGTCATGTTCGTGACAATTCATGATGTTTCAGTAAATGTGTAAATTAAATTCACCTCAGTTGATACTTTCTTATGCTGGACAACATCTGATTCAATTCCTGATATCGCCACTATTTTGATCGTTGTGCGGACCCAAATATAATTATGACATCGAAATATTGTCAGTTTGAGCTTTGTCATATTGATATCGTCGATACGTTATACGTCAGCCGACAGAACGTGTCACTTTTTTGAATATTGTCACATGTAGTTTAAACGTGTATATTTTTAAAATTTCTAATATTAAAAGAATACAACAATTTAATTGCTTACTGAAAAACTGGGAATTAGGAAAATGTTAAAAGTATTCCTATGGAAAAAACAGCCGTTCAATCTAATATTGACAGTTGTTCTATTAACCAGTCACAGAACGTGTAACAAAGCGCAAGATCAAATTTGGAATTATATCATTATGAACTGTAAGTAAGATTTCAGTAACAAGTGCATTACTCGTTATATTAACCAATAGTAGGTTTAACTTGACTTGTATAACTGTCAGACTTTTGCAATAATGCATTTATTTTGTATTTAAAAACACCAACAACAATTCGTTGGTTTAATAGATGACTTCACTTTCGGCTACATACTATATGGCTGCTAATATAGATATGAAAAAGTTCTTTAAAATAATAGTTTTCGCAACAAACATATCATGTTCTATATCTGATTAAAGTCATTCAACTACGCTGTTTATTATTAAGATATGATTCTCAGATAATGGTCACGATAAGCCCTGAAATGTCTTTCCAGATGAAATCGAGTGACTTCAATAAGGAAAAAACCTGTGCCGCCTACACTTATTGGAATCACACCTAGTGTATCGTCATTATTTTTAAAATCTCGGTAACCTTTGGTATATCGCGATATCGATATACCTTTCGATTTAAAAAAAATATATCAGTTAAATTGTTAATAGTGTAATACATCAATTATATTGCAGTGAAATACATCAATTATAGTGTAGTGTAATACATCAATTATATTGCAGTGTAATACATCAATTATATTGCAGTGTAATACATCAATTATAGTGTAGTGTAATACAACAATTATAGTGTTGTGTAATACATCAATTATATTGCAGTGAAATACATCAATTATAGTGTAGTGTAATACATCAATTATATTGCAGTGTAATACATCAATTATAGTGTAGTGTAATGCATCAATTGTATTGTAGTGTAATACATCAATTAAAGTGTAGTGTAATGCATCAATTATAGTGTAGTGTCATGCATCAATTATAGTATAGTGTAATGCATCAATTATAGTGTAGTGTAATGCACCATTTATAGTGTAGTGTAATACATCAATTTAAGTGTAGTGTAATACATCATTTATAGTGTAGTGTAATACATCAATTATAGTGTAGTGAAATACATCATTTATAGTGTAGTGTAATACATCGGTTATATTGTAGTGTAATACATCAATAATATGACAGTGTAATACATCAATTATAATGCAATGTAATACATTAATTATGTTTTAGTGTAATACATCAATCGTATTGTAGTGTAATACATCAATTATAGTGTAGTGTAATACATCAATTATAGTGTAGTGTAATACATCATTTTTAGTGAAGTGTAATGCATCAATTGTATTGTAGTGTAATGCATCAATTATAGTGTAGTGTCATGCATTAATTATAGTGTAGTGTGATGCATCAATTATAGTGTAGTGTCATGCATTAATTATATTGTAGTGTAATACATCAATTATACTGTAGTTTATTACATACTAATAAATACGGGTTTTTTTGTATATGCGATACGACACAATTGCTCTAACCCATATCAGCCCTCGCCGTATCCCCCCCCAAAACCCGTATCAGCCCCCGCCGTATCACACCCCAAAACCCATATCAGCCCGCAAAACCCATATCACACCCCATTTGGAAAAAAAATCGTTTTTCAATATTTCAAAAATTAAAATAAATCATAAGATAGTAGTTTTTATTAGTAAGTATGTAATAAACAGAATAAAACCCGCCTTTTTCCATATCCCACCCAGTACCAACCCGAGACTGCAATATCAGCCCAAGGGCCGAATTCTCTATGTAATACATCAATTATATCGTAGTGTAATACATCATTTATAGTGTAGTGTAATACATCAATAATATGGCAGTGTAATGCATCAATTATAGTGTAGTGTAATACATCAATTATATTCTAGTGTAATACATCAATAATATGGCAGTGTAATACATCAATTATAGTGTATTGTAATACATCAATTACATTGTACGCGTAATACATAAATTTGATTTTAGTGCGAGCGATCAATTATAGTGTAGTGCAATGTGTCATTTATATTGCAGTGTAATACATCAATTATATTGCAGTGTAATGCATCAATTATAATGTAGTGTAATACATAAATTATATTGTAGTGTAATACAGCAATTGCATTGGTGTGTATTACATCAATTAAAGTGTAGTGCAATGCAACATTTATATTGTAGTGTAATACATCGATTATATTGCAGTGAAATACATCAATCACATTGCAGTGTAATACATCAATAATATTGCAATATAATACATCAATTATTGTGTAGTCTAATACATCAATTATATTGTAGTGTAGTTATACACTGAACTAGTCAATTATAGTATATAATACTATACATTTCCCTTGAAAACATATACATTTTCTTTGAATTAAATAGGGCATTTTAAATGATAACAATAATAAAAACAAAAAATTCCTCAACAAGCACATACAGAGCCTAATAGGCGAGATACATTTAAACAAATTTGAGCAATCTCAATGTCTTAGATATAGGTCTAACACTTTATTTTGTCTCGCAAAAAACTTTGAACATGGTGCTCAACTCCACATTCTACGAATCGAATGTGATAAAGTCTGCTTTGGTTATTAGGCCTTTGGTGTTGTATTTTGTCAAGGGGTATGCTATTAAAACCAAAAGTTGGAAATAAGATCTCATAACAGTTAGAACACTATATAACCGTCAATTACACACACTCACATCCTTACCTTTCCGGAGGTAATGAAGGATAAGACCTGTGGTAAGAAACCTTTGAGTAATTTGCTCCAGCACATTCCTGAGTGTGTTAAATACAACTATTCGTCAACTCGTGAATATAAAGCAGCTTTGTACATTCTCCAATAATCTTGGAATTCAATAGGTTGTTTCCAAATGATTAATAACAAAAGATTCAACAAGCATATACAAAGTAAGTACAACCAGACCTAGAACCTCAATATCTGATAAAAAATGGACACTTTTCGCTTGTGAAATTTTTCAAGCAAGTGTTAATAGAGAAAATTAGCAAAAATTGACCTGCTTTTTCACATGCTTCATCTTGTATGATGTATGATGTTGGTCGTCGTAGCTACCTTTCCAGCTTAAAACCATACACTCAAAGATGTTCGATCATTGCAGTCTTTGCCAGATAATAATTAATACCTATTATTATTTTTATTGATTTTGAGCTGACTCTGATTGGCTGAAACAACATCATGTGACCACCTGTAAAGGTAGTTATAAACCTGAGTGGTTTGCAGGTGTTCAAAAAAGTTGGTAGAACAAGTGTTATTGACCTGCTATAAATAGATTCTGGAACAGGTGTTCAAAAAAGTTGGTAGAAAAAGTGTTATTGACCTGCTATAGATAGAGTCATTTAGATGCTTGATTAACACCCCATGGGAGACAAACACAGTAATGATCAAGATTAACACTGAAGTCACTTGGATGCTTGATACTGCCTATCAAAGACAAACGCAGTAGTGATCAAGAGTTTAGCAACAACAAAAATGGCAGACGACAGCACTAGATTTGCTCAGCTATCAACAGAGGATGTTGA